GCTTCTCGCATCTCTCTCTCATCCTCTCTCTCTCTCTCTCTCCCTCCTCATCGCTCGTCTCTCTCTCTCTCTCCCTCTCTCTCTCCTCTCCTCTCTTCTCTCTCATCTCCTCTCTCTCTCCTCTCTCTCTCTCTCCTCTCTCTCGTCCCTCTCTCTCTCCTCTCTCTTCTCTATTCTCTCTCCTCTCTCTCTTCGAGTCCCCTATTATCCCACTATATCACACGAGCGTGGGCGCGTCCGCACGCCTGAAACTAGCCATCGTCAGATATCGTGACACATGATGGACTGAATAGAGTATATATATATATATATATATATATATATATATATATATTATACTATAAATACTGCTAAACCAATGATATATACTAGCCTATGCTACTGCTAAACACTACACTGCGGTCGCAGTATCCGATGTAGATATATATATATATATATAATATATATATAATAATATATATATAGAGAGAGAGAGAGAGAGAGAGAGAGAGAGAGACAATAAGAAAGAACGAGAGAGAGTGGCAGTCATGCGTCCAGCTGCTTATATGATATCAGTATCTTGATGCAGTACCCATCAACGTGCCAAACTACTGTGTATCAGCAGCCTTTACATAGCTGTGTGGCCTGTGCAGCGGTGTCAAATGTCTGTCCTACTGCATGTGAAATACACGGTGCACGCGTGCGTGGTGCGTGCGTGCGTGCATGCGTGCCGGTGTGTTATTGCGTACGTGCACATAGTAAGAACAAGAAGAAAAGCAACAACAACAACAATAACAACCACAACAACAACAGCATCAGCATGAACAACAGCAATCAGGCAACAACTACTATCTATCTATCTATCTAATCTATCTATCTATCTATCTATCATATATCTATACTAATCTATCCGATCTATCTATCTATCTATCATCTATCTTATCTTATCTAATGCTATCTATCTATCATCTATCTATCATCTATCTATAACTATTCTATCTATACTATCATATATATCTATCTATCATCCTATCTAATCTACTCATATCTATCTAGCTATCTATCTATCTATCCTCCTCTATCTATCTATCCTATCTAATCTATCTATCTCTCTATCTATCATCTTATCATCCTCATCTATATACTATATCCTATCTATATCTATTCTATCTATCATAAAAATTCTATCTATCTATCTATCTCTCGTGCCTTCTATCTATCTATCAAAAAAAAAAAAAAAAAACTATCTATCTATCTATTATCTCCTGCTATTAATTATCTATCTCATCTATCTGATCTATCTATCTATCTATCTATCTGATCTATCTATCTATCTATACTATTATAATCTCTCATCTCTCTCTCTCTCTCTACTCTGCTTCGCTTTCTGTCTCTCTCTCTCTCGTCTCTCTCCTCCTTCCTCTCTCTCTCTCTCTCGTCCCTGCTCTCTCGTCTCTCTCTCTCTCGCTCTCTCTTCTTCTCTCTCTCTCTCTCTCTCTCTGCTCTCTCATCCAGCGCTCTCTGTCTCTCTCCTCTCTCTCTCTCCTCTCCGTTCCTACATCTCTCTATCACTCGCTGTCGTCCTGAGGGGTCAGGTAACTGTAGCGTGACCTTGGACGAATTAGACACTACTGCCCTACAAGCCACAAGCGACTATATAAATGTCGCCAAGCCAACCGCCTCCAGAGCAGCCGCCACTTCATCGTTGTGTATACTGGTAACGGGAGCAACGCCAAAACGAAAGAGACCGAGAGAGAGAGAGAGAGAGAAAGAGAGAGAGAGAGAGAGAGAGAGAGAGAGAGAAAGAAGGAGAAGAGACTGAGCCCATCGATTCACAAGGTAAGCTGCAATATCATCTTCTGTGAGATAATCGTGAGAGAGGAGCGGAGAGGAGGAAGGGGAGGAGGAGGTTATGTGAGGCTTCCTTGCATTCGTTCCTAGTCACCAAATACGCATAGCCCCAATAATTTATTTATTTACTTACTTTTTTATTAACTTATTTATTTATTCATTCATTCATTTAATGACGGTACACTGGCAGTAAATAACAACATGAGCTTACAAGCTACATGGAACCGTCAGTAAATTGGTAATTAGAATTAATTAACCGTTCTAATTAGAATCACACCGTGCCGTCGTTCGAACAGACATCTAGTAAGGTCGCGCAAAAAGCCAACGTGTGAATAAATAAACGACTCATGATCTAAATCGTAGTTGTTTGCTCTACAGGCAATCATATCGAACTTCGACAAAGCGAAACGAAGGGGAAAAACCTAAAAAACAAGATGCAACTGGAAGGAAAGAAAACAAACTGGAGAATTGTGGTCTCTGCACTGCTGGTAAGGGCTTTCCTCAATATTCTAATCAGAGTCACTGATTCTCGTGGCCAAGGAAGCTATATATACATAAAAGTATATAGTATGCGTGTGTTTGTGCGTGCGTGCGTGCATGCTTGCTAGCTTGCGTGCGTGCGTGCGTGCGTGCGTGTACATATGTGTTCGTGGGCGTGTGCGCATGCGTGTGCGCGAATCTAACCTGCAATTTCATGCAATGCTTGAGGGAGGGTGAAAACGGACGCGGGGGTGGGGGCATTCCCAGTTCCCCGGGAAAAAAATACGCCATTTCCCAGTTTCCGAATTATTTTTAAAATGCAACTATCCCGCGTCCCGTTTGACTTCCATTGCCGAATCATGAAATGAATTCATCCGGCATTTCCCAGTTCCCAGATAATTAGAACGTTCCAATCCCGCGTCCGAAAATAACCTCCGCCACCCATTCTCCTCCTGCTCCTTCTGCTCCTTCTCCTCCTTCTCCTCATCCTCCTGCTCCTCCTCCTTCGCCTTCTCCTCCTCTTCCTCTTCCTCCTCTTCCTCCTCCTCCTCCTCCTCCTCCTCCTCTACCTCCTTCACCTTCTGCCCCTCCTCATTCTCCTTCTTCTTCTCTTCCACAATACTCGCGTGCGCGCCTGCTGAATTTGTGTTACGAATATCCTCCTGCGATTCACAGGTGGCGACACTATTGCTGGCCGCAGTGACGTCAGCGGCGCCGGCAGACGAAGCAGGCAAAGTCGCGGTGAGAGAGAAGCGCAACTTGTTTGGGACGGAATTCCTCTGCCACGTCGCAGAACACCTAAGGGAATTCCTGCACTGCCATTGCTACGAAAGACGCAAGCGACGAAATGCGGACAGTGGATGCGCAAAAGTGTGTGACTACTTACAGAATGTCTGCTACACTCGCTGAACACAGATGAGAACGACACATCGACACACGCCTAAAGTGTCGCTACACTACTACAGCCAAGGCCGGATTCAACTAGTGCGGGGCCTGGAGCATATATATATGTTATGAAGGGGTTGGGGAATTTTTTTTTTAAACAAAAATTAAAACACATAAATTTAAGTTAATCTAAATCTAACACATTTGTAATGGATTTACTGAGAAATAGACTAATGTCAGCACTCATTATTGTATCAGGTTTACGTGTATACTAAAAATAAAAATAAATGTTGTTTAAGCAAAATCTTACTATTAGATAGTTCATGATATTACGGGGTCCCTAAAACCTATATCTATCGTTATACTACTGGTATACTACTGCTACACTATTACTGTATTTACTCTCTATCATCATATATATATATATATATATATATATATATATATATATACATAATAGGTTGCTGGGGTATGGGTGGGCTCGCACACGCACGACACACACAGCACACCCGAAACACGTCGCGCACACACAGATCTCGACACCACACACACACACCAACACACTCTCTCTCTCCCTCCTCTCTGGCCTCTCTCAACACAACACACACCTGCCGGCTCGCCGCAGAGGACCAGCACACCACAAACACAGCACCACACCACACACAACACACACACCACGATGCGCAGCAGCGCACACACACACACACACACACACACACACACACACACACACACACACCACACAACACACGCGCGCAGCCGCAGCGCGCACGGTACACAGCGCGGCACCACACACACACAGCGGGGCACACAACACACACAACACACACACACACACACACACACAACCACACGGCGCGCGCCGCCAGCGCGCACACACCACAACACCACACACACTCACACACACACACACACACACACACACACACACCACACACACACACACACACACACACACACAACACACACATCTACACACTGCCTGCATAGTTAAACATGCGTGGTTTTGTAGTTTCGTTAGCAGCAACACAGCGCCGCGTGCTGCTGGCAGTGAAATTGCGGCTCACTGGTCCCTCGAAATCGGCATAACGCGTTCATGTTAAATGTCAAGCCGTGTGATCGCCCCCCTGCGGGGTCTATCTCTCTCTCTCTCTCCCTCCTCATCTCTCTATCTTCTCATCTCTTCTCCTCTCGTCTCTCCTCAATCTAAATCTCTCTCTACTCTCCTCCCTCATCTCTCTCATCATCTCCTCATCGTCCTCTCTCTCTCCGCTCTCTCGCCCCTCCACCTCTCTCCGACGCTCTTTCTCTCCTCTCTCCTCTGCTCTACAGCTCTCTCTCTCTCACTCCGGAATCCTTCTCTCTCTCGCTGTTCTCTCGTCTCTCTCCCTCTCACACTCACATAGGCGGATCGCTTTCTTTTTTTTCTTTTGCTGTTTGTGTTTCCTTTTTCCCCCTTTTCTCCGGTACTCTCTCTCTCTCTCTCTCTTTCTCACTGACACTCAGCGTTCTCGTCCCTCATCCCGCGTCTCCTCCTCCTCTCCCCATCTCGCTCTTCAACCCGCCTCTCTCTCTGTATTCTCTTTCCCCTGCCCTCTCTCTACTCTCACCCGAACCTTTCTTCTCTCGTCTCTGCTCTCTCTCTCCTCATGTCTCTTCTGTCTCATCTTCCCCTTCCTCCTCCTCTTCCCCTTCCCCTTCCCCTTCACCTTCCCCTTTCCCTCTCTCTCTCTCTCTCTACCTTTCTCTCCCCCTCCCTCTCTCTCTCTCTCTCTCTTTCTCTCCCTCCCTCTCATCCCTCTTCCTCCTCTCTTTCACATGTTTCTCTCTCGCCTCTCTCTGGGCCTTTCGCTCTTTTGTTTCTCCCTCAACTTCTTTATCTCGCCCTGTCGCCTTATCTCCCCCCCCCTCCTCTCGTCTCTGTCTTTTTTTCCGTTCTCCGGTCTGTGCTCGCTTCTCCGGCCGCTGCGTCCTGTATTTTCTCTCTCTCTGTGCTCTCTCTGGTCACTCCTCATCTGTGTGCCATCTCCCTCCCTACCTCTCTCTGGCTTCAGCACTCACTAGTCACTCACGGCTCTCTCTCGATCCTTCTCTGCTGCTCTCCTTTCTTACTCTTCCTCTCCCCTTCTGCCTCTTCCCTCGCTCGAAAATGACGTTCCGTATGGTATAATCTACTGTGTTAGGGAATAAGTTGCGATGTCCACCTTGCGGGGACGCTCTTCACTATCCTCGCGCAGCTGCGGCACGTATCAATGCTAAAGTGGCAGTTGATTTGGGTTTGGTTCTCAAAATGCGCGCGAGATGCTCGCGGAGGCGGGCGGATATAGTATGTTTTATAATGGTAGGAGTGATCGCGATAGTACGAGCGAGATGGGCTATATTATGTATGTGTTGTGTTATATGTGTGTATACAATGAATGTATGCCTGTACACACACATACGCACACACGCAGACCGCGCGCCACGCGCGCACACACAGGTATATAATTATAGACCGTCATTGGTTTATTTTGATCTTACTCTTTTTATAGAAGCACTGTTTAATTAATAATTGTTTACTTTCGATCGTTCGTGAGTATGAGTCGTACTCGTTCGTTCGTTCGTTCATTCGTACGGGGGCGCGTGCGCAGTGTGCGTGGCGTGAGTGTGGTGTTGGGGGCGGCGTGCGCAAGTGTGCGTGTGCGTGTGCGTGTGCGTGTGCGTGTGCATACATGTGGCGTGTGCGTGTGCGCGTGCGCGTGCGCGTGCGCGTACGCGTGCGCGCGCAGTGTCTGTGTGCGGTTATCGGTAAAAATCGAGTCAACCCAGGCGTCGCTAAAAAACGACATGTATTATTCGATTAAATAAAACAAAAGATGATCGAACCGTCTGTCCGCATCATACCAGGTCCATACAGGCTGTAAACCGAAGCATTCTAATTTCGCGGCGAACGACACATGTACGCGCATGTATGAGGAACAAACGAATAACGCATCTTGAACAAAAATGTTTTTGGAATGTGGAATTGACGCGTGGTAGGGACGGAATAAGTAGCCGTGCCGTGACTTATCCAGGTTTCTAACGCACCGTGGCCCGCGTGTGTCGTAGGCTATAAAACAGCGAATATATTATTCGAATGTTAGAATGACGATTAGAAAAATTATGCGCCGTGCGTGGGGGCGCAGCGAGTGAAAGCTTTTGTTGTTTGGCGTGCAGCGCGAGCGGTTGGCGTGTTTCGTGCGAAGACTGCTATCATAATATGAAAGCGAAGAAATCGCTGTGGCAAAGTTCATGTCTTTCTGTGTGTGGTGCTCTAATATTCACTCCTGGTGTCTCTCTGTTTTCTCTCTCTTTCTTCTGTCTTCTGTCTCTCTTTCCGCTTCCTCATCTCCGTCTGCTTCTTTCGTGTAGTATAATCTCTATCTGTCGTTCTCTCGGCTCTCGCTCCTCTTTCTCTAAATCGCTCTCGTCTCTCCTCGTCCGTCTCGTCTCGTGCTCTCTCTCTGCTTCTCTGCTCTCTCTGGGTGTCTCTATTCTCAGCATTCTCTACCCCTGCTCTCTCTCTGCCTTTCTGTTGTCTCGGGGTGCCGCGTGGCTTCGCTCTCTCTCTCCACCCTTTCTGTCTCTCTCTCCTTCTCCGAGGATGCAGCTCTTCCTCTCTAGTCTATCTGACTCCATTTCTATCTGGGCTCTCACTCCGCTATCTGTCTCTCGTCTTTCTCTCCTTTCGCTCTCTCTCCTCTCGTGCTCCCTCTCCTCTCTCTTCTCACACACGACACGCCCGTCTCTATATCTCAGACATCCCCTCTGCTAAATCTCTCTCAGCTCCCTCCTCTATCTATCTCAACTCCATCTGCTACAGTGCTCTCTGCTATACTCCTCTCGTAGAGCAGTATCCGGGGTCGGGGGCGCCCGCTCTCTCGTCTTCTGTCTCTCTCCTCCTCGCTCTCCTCTCCCCTGCTCTGCTTCTCTTTCCTCGTCTCTCCTCACACGCTCTTCTCTCCGAGCTCTCTCTCTCGTCCCTCTCTCTCCTGCCTCTTTGTGTCTCCTGTCCTCCCCCTGGTCTGCTTTCTTCTCTCTCGTCCCTCCTTCTTCTCACTTTCCCTCTCTATCTCTCTCACCTCCGTCTCTATCTCTCCTCGCTCCCTCTCTATCCTCTCTCACATACGCAACACTGTCACGTCCCGCCTCTTCCTCTCCTCTCTCTCAGATCTCTCTCTCTCTCTCTCTCGTCCCTCACATCGCTCTCTCGCTCATCCCCTGATCGAAGTATTTAAACACCAGTTCCGCTGAATTTCACAGGCGTGTGATTTGCCGCATGAAATGTTACGGGCGAGCCAAATCTAATTAATTTATTTTCGTGCTCGCTGGGGGCGAAGGCGGGGGGCCAGGCGGGGCGAGAGGCGGGGGCGAGGGATGAGGGAGGGATGAAATCCAGCGGCGGGGGTGCGAGTGAAGAGAAAGAAGCCCAAGGCTGAGCGCAGAACGCGTACTGTTAACGACATATACATTATATATATATATATATATAATATATAATATGATATATATATATATACATTATATATATATACATTATATATATATATTATATATTAGTTGATATTATAGGTAAACATAATAGTATTATTATATATATATATATGAGTTGTATAAATTGTCAGGTAGGCGAATGATGGGCACGTTGTCAAAAAAATGGATGTCGTACGTAAAGAGTACGGCTAGCTCTCCCTCTCTCTCTCTCTCTCTCATGCTGAAGCTCTCTCCCCCTTATCTCACGTCAATTTCCTCCGGTCAACCTTCCTTGCCATCTTGCTCCGCAAGGATACCGCTGCGCGAGAAAATACGAACTTTTGGGCAACAAACCCGGCTACGAAATCGAATTAATATCGATCCGGACCACCGAGACAAATTCAAATTTCAGCTTAAGGTAAATTATTTGCGGTTTGCGCGCCGGTGGCCAGTGGAGTTAAGAGAGAGAGAGAGAGAAGAGGAGGGAAAAGTGTGAAGAGAGAGGAGAGAGAGGGGGAAAGCTGAGAAAGTGACGAAAAGAAAGAGAGAGGCGAGAGAAGAGAGAGAGAAGAGAGAGAGAGAGAGCGAGAAGAGCGAGAGAGCGAGACGAGCGAGAAGCGAGAGTGCGAGAGCAGACCAAGAGAGCGAGAGCGACAGCGAGAGAGTGTGTGTGTGAGCAGGAGAGAGAGAGAGGCGAGAGAGCTGAGAAAAGAGAGAAGCAAGAGCGAGACGAGAGCGAGAAGAATGTGTGTGTGTGAGAGAGAGGAGAGAAGAGAAAAGAAGGGGAGAGAGAGAGAGAGGAGGAGAGGAAGA